TTAATATTACCCATATAATTTTAAAGTTTTTATTATTATTTTTATCTAATGAGATGGAAGTTAGAAGAGTATGAAAACATTCATCTTGCAAATTCATTATTCATTTTAAAAAACTATAGAATTGAAAAGCTCATTTCCCTGTTCAGTTAGTTTTAGTTGATCATTTGTACGAAATATACTATTCCCTCCATTTCCAAAAGAAGAATTTTCTAAAAAAAATTTTGTTCTATAAAAATAAAATTTATAGATTTTAAAGTAGTTTTTAGTAATTGATATTAATAATTTTTATACTCTTATAATTCAGAGATGTGGGATGTGTAGAAAGAGGGATGAGACAAGGGATTGCTTCACTTTCGATTCTCCGTAATCATTTACAGTATGGAAAAGATTGGTGAGAGGGTTTTTTGGGGCGTGAACAGACCCTGACTGAACATACACCCTTAATATGGTTAAGGGAAACAAACTTCACCAGCTTGACTCGATTAAGATGGTTTTTCAAATGACCATTTATCATGTATGGAAAAAAAGGAATGCAATCAGATACCAAGTGAGTGGACATATATGGATTAGTTTCACAGGACTGCGAAACAGGATTGTGTCTCATCATCGCAATGCAGATTTACTTCAAAGGTGGTTTGAGCTTACTAGGTAGAAGAAGGAGTTTATGAGTTTCGGTCTACTTTCTATTATTTATACTTAAGCGTATTCAGTCTATAGTCACTATTTTTTTGTAAATGTAATTCTTTTCAATTATTTGATTAATAAATTTGAAATTCTTCAAAAAAATTGTATATTCTTAAGAAACATTGATTAAAGATATTTGAACTGCTTAAATATCATTTCTTAATAATTATTGGAAATTTTATAGTAAAAATAAATAATAAATTTAATTACCACGATTTATTATGCTCAAACCCTTTGTCAAAAAAAAAATATATGTTTAAAAACTCACATATTTGTGATTGATCAAGTATCAGAAAAGATGCGGATAGGTTGAGGCCCTAAAATGTTATTATCTTGAAAATTCATACTATTTTGTAGTTGCTTGTTTACAGTTGTCTTACCATGTGGTTATTTCGGCCACATTTAACGATTCTTCGAAAATTTGTCCTTACACTATAAATTAACATAAACCACAAGATCAATAGAGAAAATACAGAAAACTGAATATTTGTTGTTGTTGAAGAAGCATATCTGAGTACCACATATCTTGTAAACCCAATTTAACCATAAATTCATTTGGATATTATAAACTACAAGGATAATATCTCATGAGACATACTATCTTTATATCTCTCAAGTGTATATTCATTATTCTCGTGATATTCTGGTTTTGAAATCGAGTATGTGACGTAGAGTGGCTGATCTCTAAACATGAACTGAAACTGAAGTTTACACTTTGTTAAAGTTGCAAGTCAATCATATATGTCCATAAACATGCTAGAAGTCTATATAATATATGGATTTTTTTTTTTGAAATTGAATAATATATGGATTTAATAGTAATTAAAGTGAGAAATTAAAAATTCAAGTAGAACGAAAAACATAACTAAAGTTAATGAACTTTTTTCGTTATTCTATTCTAGTATGATTTCCAGATTATATTTTGTTTAGGTAATATAATGTTTTTTTATCAAAAGAAAAAAACTAGAGCTAAAAAATATCCAAGTGAGATGTGTAAATGTATATTTAGAAATTTTCAGTTATTGTGTCATGGCTTAATAGTAACCCAAATAGTTACAAAACAAGTGAAGTATTTTCATTTTCGTTTTTGAATTAACGGTTGGTTAACAAACGAAGTATTTTCTTCTCTTACATATTGGAGGGGACCATTGCAATTATGCATGGCCTAAATTTCGAATCGTTTTGTTTTGAACTAGCATGGCATAACTCTTTCATCTTTGGCTCCCATACTTATGATAAAACTTTGTAACCTTTTAAGATTCAAAGACAGAAAACAAACAAATAAGATGAACTAACTAGATGCATGTTTAAAAAAAACTGAAAACTAGATAAATGTTAGAGTGCAGTAATAACTTCTTGTTGTTTTGTTTGTTTCATTTTTACTTTCCACGTAAATAAATATCTCAATGATATTATTCACTTGTCTGTTACTCTTTATCTTGATCCTAAAAAGCTTATCCTAAGCATGGAAAGACAAGGTGAAAGAGTCATGAGATTGCATAATTCTCCATACTGATAAAATAAATAAAAACTGAAAGACAATTCTATTGGTCCCCCTCCAAAAATGTAAAAGGGAAGAAAGAGTTCAACGTTGATTTGCGCTTGACAAAAACAAAATTGTTCTGTAATAATAATTCACTAGGATAAGATCTACGTCTTGCGCGGAATAAACTTATTATTTTTATTATGTTTTGGGAAATGAAACAAAAGTTCGGTTTCATCTGGATTAAGGGTGTTCAATCTGGATATCGGGTTTTGATATTTCGGTTATTAAAATATAACTACTATTCTAAATCTATATTTACTTCAGTTTGATTTGGTTTAAATATTGGTTTTCAGTTTATTCAGTTTTATACCAAAATACATTATTATTTAGTTTGAGATCATATTATATATTATAAAAATAAATAATATGATCATATTTAGAGTCATATTGTCAAAAAGTCATTTACTAAAAAAAATTATATATTTAAATAAAAGAATAAAAAACAAAAAAGACTTCTATCATCTAATAAAATGATCAAAGTTAGAATTAATATCAAATCTCTAAATTTTGAAAATAAAAATAAAAACAAAACTGAAGCATGAAAGAAAAGTTTTTATATTCTTCTATATTTAGTGTTCATCAAATTAATATGTCTTCAATTGAACACAACTCTGTTTGTTTAAATATTAAAAAAAATTGTAAATTTCAACTATATATTGTCCATCAAATTTATAATTTTTACTTCAATTTAGTTATTATTAAAAAAAGCAAAAAAGATAAAAAAAAAGACTAAGAAAATAAGAAGCCTTAGTTGCATCGAATTGTTAGTTAATTATAGTTCAAGTGATTCAAGTGATTTACATATCATAATTATAGTTTTTGTATTTCTATAATTATAGTCATGTTAGGGTATGGAACGTGAATGGTTAGTATATACTATCTCTGTTACATTATAATATAATGTCATTTTAGAGTTCTGCACACAGATTAAGTAAACAATTAGTTTTACATATTTTTATATAAAAATACAATTACCAATACACCTAACTACATTTTAATTAATAAAAAAACAAATTACATAACACAATTAATAATTTTTGCATTGAAAACTGAAAACAAAACTTATTTTTTAACGAATTTTTTTTCTACAACGACACTTAATATGAAACGGAGTGAGTATAATATATATTAGGTGTTTTCCTGCATCATGTGTAGTGAGAATTTAATAATAAATTTTAATATTATAGATTTTATTATTTTCTTACCAATATTTAAATATAGATTTGATTTAGTTAAACAGTAAACTAAGATAAAATAATTTTATTTATTTAAAATTATATTTAAGAATATATAAGTATATATTTAAATTTATAATCTTAGATAGATTTTTCTATCCATTTATATTGCTTAAATATATTGAATTAATGTGTATAAAATTAATAAAAGTGATATAAAATTGTATAATTATCAAAAAAATTAAACTAAACAATATTTACAAAAAATTTTGATATATAAGAAACTAATGATTTTATGATTAGAATATACTTTTAAAAAATTGTAGCAATTTTTGAAAACTTTAGTAATACAAATTATATAATGTAAAAAATAAAATAGAATAATATTTCAAAATTTGTAATGTTATATTTGAATATATTTATTTTAAAGATGATATGTGAGTTATTACCATATTTTAAATTTTTTACCATAAAAGTGACATGTGGATATATAAGAAACTAATGCTTTAAACTAAACAGTATTTACAAAATTTGTAGATATATAAAAACTAATGAATTTACGATTAGAAATTTATATTTTTTGAAAATTGTAGCAATTTTTGAATACTTTAGTAATACAAACTGTATAATAAAAAAAATAAAAGAGAATAATATTTCAAAATTTGTATTGTTATATTTGAATATATTTATTTTTAAAATTATGTATGATTTTTTACCATATTTTAATTTTTTTACCTTAAATAAATATCAACATTAAATGTAAATTATCTGTTATTACCATATTTAAGAGGTTTAGCAAAAATATAAATCAATAATTTTCCATATCATATTTTGTTGTAAGTCATGGCATCAATTTTAGTAGTCGTGTCACATTTGTTTTGTGAAATTGATTATAGTGATAACATGTGACAAAATCACATCGCAAATAATATATAGAGGATAGTAAAGAACTGTTTAGAGAAATCGCACTCTATGATTTGAAAAAAAAACAATAATACACTAACTGACTAATAACCCTAAATAGTTACTATATAATGTATATTATTGTTTTTTTTGTAAGTCATAGAGTCCAATTTCCCTAAATTCAATTCCATTGAAATAAATAGCACAGAACTAAAAAGTGGTTATCATCATCACATACGATTATCTTTTTGTGTTGCTTACCCACCGTTTTTTGTAATGTAAGTTTTTGTACCAAACAATATTTCACTAAATTTGTGATTTACTAAAGTGAAATGTTTATGATAACAAGGACGAATATTACTACCTAGTTAATTTGATATAACTATGTTTACCAATCACCAAAAAAAAAAGTTTCTAAAGTGTTTAACGTAGTCACAAAAACATATTTAATGTAGCAACACCATCCAAAACTTTGAATGATAGTCTATCTCTATCTTATCAGTAAAAAAAATCAGAAGCAACTCTCTTTTTCTTTTATTATACAAGGACAAATATACCATGCACCACCTCCAAACCAATGCGTAGAGACATTATATAAACGGCAAAAGAAGTCTTCATGATGGACAACAATACGTAAATAGAAAGAGATAAATTATTACTGTAAAAGAGAAAAGAAACATCAGAAAAAGTGATTAGTAAAGAGAGTCCATGCTCCAAGTGGGGCTTTGAGTTTCATTATAAGCTCCTATTCCTGTTTCTATTTTTAACCTTAACACATCCTGCTCTTCTTCATCCGCCTGTTACAATTAAACAAACCAAAAAAAAAATTAATAATAGCCGTAACTGTATGATCACTGCTATAACAGGAGTAGGACATCACAAACTGAAAACCCAAACGAAGACATGAGCCAAAGAAGAACCGGGTCCCACTATTATATTTGACAATTGCGATCATTAGTCTTATCTCTCAAGATCCAATAATTTATTGACTCTTAAATCTCTTTTATTTCACTATTGTCGAGGCATTTGATAACTCCAGACAATATATAATGTATTTGGCAGAGTTAGCTAATATTCTATCATGACAGCCTCTTGTTATTTAATTCGAGCGGTTGAGCAATATTCATTACAAAGCAATCAGATTCTGCTTACCACAGATCAGTATTATTATTTTATCTGATTAATGGACCAAACCCAATAAATGAGGGACCAAAAGTGATTTTAAAAGAACCACAATCAGTGCTTCGTCCAGACTGGAAGCTTCCGATACTGAACCCATTTATGTTATAAGTTACTCATTTTGTTTCGATTTAATTATCTTAGAGATCGTTTTAATATTTTAATACAAAATTTCTTTATAACATTTGTATAAAACTAAAGCGACACTACAATAAAACAGAGGAAGTATAACATTACAGACCGGAAATAAATACCCATTCTTTTTTCTTTTCCGTCTAGTAATTTATTTATAAGATCAAATAAATACCCATTCACAAAACTATAAAAGGAATAATTATTTTCACAAAATGCTAATAAAAAGTGTATTGACTATATACACCAGACGACCAAACCCAAATAATAGGGTAAGCATATTTTCTTCTAATTTATCATTAATTAACTCTAATAAGATCTTGCTTTAAATCAACTAGAAAGGTCCATGTCCAAATCAGTATCAAATCAACTATCTTGCATTTGTGAAAAATATTATATAGATTTTTCTCAGGTAAACAAAACAAAGTAATCACACAATGGCTCATTGCAGCGTCACCAATTAAGACATTTAGTGTTAAAATAAAATAATTTGGCTCGAGCAAAGACTTAAAACTACAGAAAACTATGAAAAAAACAATCGGATGAGATTGCAAAATCTAGTATAAAAATCGACTCACGGTTTACACAAACTAGAAAATAAATTACAAGCTAAAATACAGGCAAAAAAAAGAAAACAAAACAAAATTGTTTCTACTTTGGTTAATATTGACTTGTACGAAATATTTTGAGAAACTAGAGTAGGATCGTGCAATTTACATAATTAGCATTAGTTGATGGAGACTTCAAGAAAAGTTAGACTAAAGTAATATTTATATATTTTAATGCTTCCTTTTACTTTTCTCTTCAAATCAAAAGTTTACTAGCCACTTCTTGACTAATTTAATCACTTAGTAGTAATTATAACTAATTGCAAATTGGAGAGAGGGAGAGAGATACTGACCTCAATAAAGAGAGTGTTGAAGATCATGCCAGAGAAAGAGTTGAGATTGGAAGTGAGGATTTTGAGATTCAATGACTCAAAGACTTGACACAGTTTCACCATTGTGTCTGTCCTCTTATTACATGTTACATTAACCACCATTATCCTCTCCCCCATGGATGCGACCTTCAGCTTCAAAAGCCACCACAATTCTTTAATGGAACATTCTTACTTAAAATTTAAGCTGATTCACTAGTAACTTACTTCGATAACTTCGATGAGAGAACGGGAAGAACCAGAATCTAGCTGTTTCATCTTCTTGGACGTGACAGGAACCAGTAAATCACGATCAAAATCTTTACTGAAACTCAAGCTACTCCTCGGTGTAGATTCAAGCTCTCTGATCTCAGCTTCGAGCTTCGATTCTTCATATTGTAACCCTTGTATGTAACTAATAGCATCTTTGATTATTGATGCTTTATCCATCTATAAGATTAGAAAGAAAAAAACAGAACCCATAATAATAAGCTTGGAAACTGGAACTAGAAGAAGACAACAATAGGTGAAAGAAACAAAAAAGGAAGGAACCTTGGTGATATTAGGAACAACTGATCGAAGAGCAAAGAGTCTCTGGTTAAGTTTCTGTCTTCTGTTTCTCTCAGATACAATATTCTTAGACGAAGCCGCCCCATCAGGCGAACTCGAATCATACGAACCAGAAACCGCTTCCTCCAAAGGCCAGCTTTTAGAAAGAAACAAAATATCAGTGTTTCTGGGAAAGTGAGCAAGAGAAAGAGAAAAAGAAAAGAACCTGTCGTATTCGAAGTCTTCGTTTTGGAGGAAGGAGTTGGTTTCCCAGTTGAATTCTTGTTCCATATTCTCCATTTTCCGACAGATCTCTTTCTAATCAAACTGTCTGATCGTTTATGTATTGTCTCCTTGTCTCTCTCTCTTTCTCTCTCGACCTGTGAAATTTATATAGAGAAGGCCAATAAGAGAGTGAGAATGAGACAGAGAACCAAAGTCTCGGGAGACAACAACGTAGATTTCCAGTTAATATACACAGTTACACACTTGACCTTGTTTATCTACTCACTGTACAGATCTAGATCTTTTTTTAACTTTAAAAAGAAAATAAAGCTAGCATAATATAATAATTAATAGAGGATTTTTAGGATGATATTCAACACGAGGGTTTTTTTTTATAACTGTTCTGGACCTGTTGTCAAAATCTATGATGTGAAGTGTGAACACTAAAGAAAAATTCCCTCAGCAACAAAATAAAAATAGCAGAAAAAAAAAATTGACAATCAACATAATATGATGTTAATCAAACAAACAATATGATGTTAATCAACGTAATAAATTTATAAAAACCATTTTTCAAATGCTAAATAATTTTATTCTTGAAAAATGAATTATAATAGTCAAAGAGATCACACTGAAACAAGGACTACTAAAGACCATCTCAAAGAATCCCAAGTGAAGTTCGGTGTTTCATTTCACATGTTTCGACAGAAGTGGTCCTAAGGATCTCATGTTTTGCCCATCTGAAAAACGTGCTAACGACCAACAGACACATACGTTTCAAGTCCATGGCATGACGTTAGGAATAAACCCAAATCCTAAACGCAGACACAAAGCATCAAAAGATGGGCAATCATGAAAGAAGGAAATAATTACCTTTATTTTGTATTTCCATTGCGTTGGTTCACTTCAGAAAAGTGTAGGAAGCTTCCCAAAGTACTTGTTCATCTATCTTGCTCAAGTTTTCATCGTCTAGACGTTTCCACGTCTTGATACGTTCAACTCCTGTCCATGTATCTCTTCCTTTCCCGAGCTTAGCCTCAATCACTCTTGCTCTTCTGTGCCAATTCCATCTTCCATAAGCATGGTATCCAAATCCGCCACCGTAACAGAACCACACTCCTTTTAGATTTCCACAGAAATCATTGACATGGTCGTGTCCTATGAACGCGGCTTTTACATTTCCCATGGACACAAAGGTCCGTAAGACTCTTGATTGAACTGTAGAGCATGCCACAGCCTCCTGATACTGGCCAATATAGGGTGTGTACCACAGGTCACGGACTTCCGGGATTGGGATGTGGAAGAAGGTTAGCGCTGGATTGGGACTTCCAGAAATGCTTTGGTTATCACCCTGTTTAGTCAGTGAGTCTTTTTAGAGGTCAATGAATCTCATTACCAGTGTGTATGCATGATAAAACATCTGAATATTTCGTCAGATGTTAGTTTCTTTACCTGTTTGGAAGTATCTTGAAGCCAAAGAAGTTGAGATTCCTTGATCCATCCATATGTTCGTCTACCTTGAACTGTTTCTCTGTCTCCACTGTCAAGAAAGAAGAGGTCAAAGACAGTGCTATTTGACAGCACCGAACCAGGTGCACCGTGTACTCTGAGACGGTAATTCCCAAAGCCATCGATCAATCTCAATGCGCCTTGATCTTGTGGATTGATCTGAGAGACAGAAAAATCCATAAGGGAGAGGAAAGTCATGAGCTCTTGACGGTTCAAAGTGGATTCATGGTCATGGTTTCCTAAAATGGCAGCCCATGGGATTCCATACTCAATGGCTGGACCGATGGCTTGAAGAAGAGATTCAGCTGCATCAGTAGTGCTTGATCCAAATATATTATCACCTATTCATAAACAACAGAACCAAGCAAAGCTTAGTGAATCAGCTTTCCCTAATAGGCATGGCCGTCTTTACCTCAAACCGAATCCCCGACCTTAACTCAAACCGTAAAAACAACACTCCATCCAAACCATTATACAAAAATATTTGAACAGAACTTAAGAACTTGGTACTTGTAGATTCGGGTACAACCACTGATAATCCAAAAATATTAGAAATTAGTTAAATATGTTAATGTTTTTTTTATGTATTAAAGTACTTTAGATCTTTTAGAGTATTTAAAGATTTTTGTAGTTTGTTTTATTTGTTATATTGAATAACTTATAGTTAGTTTAACTAGTTTTATTTACACTTTTGAATAATTTCTACATTTTGAGTATTGTTGTTGATTTTTTAAAGTTTTTAAAAAATATTTCGGCAATTCAAACATTTTTATAATCCGATCCAAACTGAATGGGGAAGGAACCGAACCAAACCTGACACAAAAATTAGTAAAACTGACCAAAAATCCAAAAAGAAGAGAATACAATGCCCATGCCTAGTCCCTACGGCCTACCACATTCAAAATTGACGGAAAAGAATGACATGTGTTGACTTATTCAAGATTCATCAGTAATATCTACAGCCAAACATTTGTATAACCAAAGCTTGTTACTATATCTGGAGATGGATGTTTAAGAGCAAAGTTTGTTTACCAGTAAATGCGATCAAATCGGGTCTCTCAGCTTCAATCATCCTCCGAAGGAACCTCGTGGTGTTGAGATCGGAACAGTAATCATACTCTGCATCCGCCACATCTCTGCATCGAGTGATACTCCCCATCCCGTAATGCATATCCGCGACCTATTAGATCAAAACCAAATGAAACGCAAGTAAGTGGAATTGCGCACGCACGAATCGTGAAGGGGGAAGGAAACGTAACCGACCTGGAGGATTTTGAAGGTTCCATCGTCGCGGAAGCGTAGAGGGAGATCCGGAGACCTTTTGAGATGGATATTGGTGTGGTTGATGTGTAGCTTGTGCGAGATTAGGATTTCGATTGAGTAGATCACAGAGATGATTAGGGATAGGTAGAGGACTGAGTATTTCCAGTTTCCGATTCCTGTTACAGAGCTCATCATCATATCTATACTGAGTATTTCCAGTTTTCGATTCCAATTCCGGAGGGATGCAGATCGATATGAATGGTGCGTGGCTGGTTCCAAGTCGCAGTTAATGGTGGTTTATTAAAGCCCATTGGGCCTTTTTACTTCTCATACTATCCATTAACATAAACTAGTTCAATCCAAACATGTGTCACCATATAATTTATATTGTACTCATTTATGCAGCACATGTGTTTGTTTTTATAGAATAGAGTCGACATATGAAATTATTCACAATACAAGAATGTAATGGTTGCACATATATGTGTTTGTATGGGTATTTGTTTGGTTTGTGATAAATAATTTTTATGATAGATCAACAATTTTAAATTGTTTATGACATGTTGGTTGTCATATCGTGGTTAGATATTAAATCAGTTAAAGTGATAGATCCATTTTAACAACATTAAACAAATGTGATAGAATGATTTTAACCAACAAAATGTGCCACTTACATGAATATGAGGGTTAACATTACGTTAGTTATCATTTAATTAGCAAAATGATTAAATAAGAAAATAAACACTTCCTAAATTTATGGATGAGAATAAATAAGAGAAATGAAAATATTGTCTTCATTTTATTATGCAAATTCAAAAATAATGTAAACAATTTTCTAAATCAATGTTCGTTTTAAAATATCACACATATTTTAATTTAGTAGAATAGATAATCATATCTGACATATAACTGAGTCAGCAAATGTCTCTTTGTAAAACAGTAAAAGTAATGAAACGGCTAAATAAGCTAAGCAGTTTTTTTCCTCTTGTCTCTCTATAAAGTCTTATTCAAATGTTCATGCACCAATCAAAATCCTGCGTAGGAAGCTTCTCAGAAGCAGTGAGAAGAAAAATATAGTTTACCAATAAATAGTTGAATTTTCCCTGAAAAAGCCCAGAAACAAATTCTCTGATCAACAAAAATTTTCTACAAAAATCCCATGAAAAAAATAAGAGATGAATCGGATCTGAGAAAAACAATGCGTCTAGTTTTCCTATGCGAAAAGGAAGAGACAGAGTTAGGGAGACAAAAAGCACCTGGATCGTGTCCGTATTGTGGAGGTAAAGTGCAAATGATTGATGTCGAAAGAAAATGCACGTTTTGTTTCGTTCCTCTCTGTTTCAACATCAAGAGGAAGTTTCTTTGTTCTTCTTGCGATCGCCGTCTCGTTTTGTATTATCAAAACTAACTATTGTACCTTTATTGTTTATAATCCTTGTTCTTATAACTAAAGATAATTAAGTGACTAGCGTTTTAATCAAGTGGAATATTTTGTCTCTGGCTTTCGTATGTAACTATGTCATGTAATCGGACATTGATGTTTCAGCATTAGAACTCTCTTGATATGATGATGTTCATACTTCTCTTTTGTTGTCTTCTTGAGTCGCTTCAAAATGTAATGGACCTAACTGTTCTCTTAAACTGTAATGTTGAATCTCATGTTTGGTGTAATAAATTCTCGCAAAAAGATATTTTACTAGTGCCTACGTTCGTACATTTCGATTTACTTTTAGTAGTGTAGTTTAATAAACAAATAACAGATAATTTTGCATGCAAGTACGTGTTGAACCAAACAATGACTAGTATTAAGACTCCAGTTGAAATCAGGTAACTTCGCGTTCATCATACCAAAATCAATCATATATACACAACTCATTACAGTCACGATTTTTTTTTTTTTTTTTTTAACTTCAGTAAAAATGCCTTAACGAGGCCGATTAGAATTTGAGTAATAATACATATCCGATTTAGCCCAAGCATCAGCTATGCAATTCAAGTTCCCAAAACATCCTTATTCCAAAAACTCATTTGAGTTCTTATTAATTTTTATCTGATTAAAAAAATAAAATAAAAACAAAAATAAATGTCACGTGTCATTGAGATCCGCAAAACAATACAAGACTTAGCTCTTATTTCACAACCAGAAGACATGATTTTTCCTTTTCGAGGAGACCCACACCAATTTTTTTCCCTAAAAAACTTATAAGATACCACGATAAAGATGCTCTAAACCTCTAATATACATGCAAGACAAAAGAAGAAAGATAGTGTCTCGATATACCGCATGTCTTTACCTAGTATTCGGGTGATAAAACCTATAGACTTTAGAAGCCCATATATATATAAATACAAAACCTTGTCTAAACCTAAATCCAAATAATTCCACGCCGATTTCACTTCCCTCCCTCTCCACCTCCGGATTTAGGGCATCCTGTTTCTTCCACGAGATCTGCTACCGTGGGTCAAGAACAGAGACGACTCAAATCTGCCTCACCGGAGGAGCTCTCCTCTCCGTCGTATATGTATCCCCTCCGTCAGGCAACGCTATGGTTCCGGGTTTAGACGGAGTCAAGCTTCACCGTGCAGATCCATCTCCAGCTCCTCTGACTGTCGTAACTCCACCACCGCGAGTCTATATTTTTCCTCACCTAGGAAGATTATTCGTCAGTCGTGTGCTTGCTCCTCCGCTGTTATGTACCGCTTTACCAAACCGGAAGGAAGCTCGGAGGATCCTTCTCGTATGGGGACCCGACTGTTCAAATGGGGTTAAACCTCCACCAACTGAAGCTCTACGTCACTCGCCCAATGATGGCTCACGCTCACTCAGTTTGATTGTAGTTGTTGATTGTTTGCTCAGATGTAGGTCAGTAACATCTTGCTGCTCTCGGTACGGTAATGCCGAGGTCCGAAGTGTTGAACTGATATCAATGTCTGCTCCGTCACCTAGCTCTTGGTGTTATCCGTCACCCGACTATTCCAAAGCCCCTTGCCTCTTATCCGATGCTTACTCACACATGCTCAACAGAAACGAGTTTATTGACAGTTTGCTCAAGTTTCTTCCGGTTACAAATTGGCCTAGACACGGTAATGTCAAGGTCCGAGCTTCTGACCCGATCAAACCGTATGCTTCGTCACCAAACTCCATTGTCCTAAGCGCTTCGAAAGTGAAGTTAGAGTTGGAGATTCACCTAGTCTCTTGGGTAAGTTTTGTGGATGTTAGAGCTGTTCATCTGCTTTTCATTGATAAATCCAGGTTTTCAAGGCCTTTTGATACTATTTCGGTTGAGAAGGACTCTCCCGTAGCCCCTTTCCAAACTCTCATGTTTGGGTTTATCAACGTCGATTCCGACAATCTCAAGCTTGTTAATTCAAGCGTTTTAGGAAAACAAGTGAAGAATCATCTCTACGGGTTCCTTTTCTTTGAGCAAGTCTCTTCCTTTAACATGTCTATCTTATGTCGTTTTGTACTGCCTTTGTTCATCTTACCGTCGAGATTAGCTGCTCCGGTTGTTATCATCTTATCAGTTCTACTTGTACTCGTTTAGCCCTTTGGCTTTTAATATAAGTTCAGTGACAAAAAAAAAAAATACCAAAGTAGGTTTTTAGTAATCTTCTTAGTCATTTTGAAAACATAACTGAATAAACTGAAATAACTTAACTAACCGAACCGGAACTATGTTCTCGCGCCTTCTTGGTTTGAAGTTCCGATTTTCTTAAAACAAAAGAAAAAGAAATTGAGAAAACCCTAATTTCACCTAACTTTGGTTTAAGTTGGTTCAGTTCGGTGTTTATTTGAAGAAACCGGTTTAGGCTTCATGTATGATATCTAAATTTTGGCCTTTTTTGTTCTTGAAAGGGTTTCCGACATGAGAAGACGAAGAAGAAAATATGAAGCTACAAAGGAGGAGAGATTAATCTTCAGTCACATTCGGTTAAGTTTGAGTACTCAGAAGAAGAATGATGATCATTGATAAGCAAACACTTATTCTCATTGTTTCCTCTGCCTCTCTTTTTGGTTTATCTTTTTCATTTTGTTTTCTTAGTTCAATATGTAATACTATTCAGCTCACTATACCCGAACAAGATTCAGTTTCATGATTTTCACGTTGACAGTTTCTAGTTATTGCAGCAGCTAGCTTCCTTCAGGAGCTAGTATTTGGGCCTATATATATTGGTGGAGTTGGGCACATTTGTGCTCTGGTTTACAAATAAGTTTTTTTGTTCAAATATTTTTGTGAATTGAGACTCACAAGTAATGATGTTCAAAAATTGTGATAGAATCTTTTCTTTTTCTCATAAAGTTTAGTCCCCAAAAGAATTTATTTTAGTCGACATGCACATGTTGTTATTTGAATTCTATTTTAATATTACTACTTGTTTTGTAAAAACAACTTTATTTAATCCAAATAGTTTCCTTGTATTAAAGCATATGCTTGTGTATTGGATTTTATTATTTTATTGCAAATGATTTGGTGTATGAATTGTGCTTTATTCTATACTTTCAAATCAAAATTATTTGAAACTAGAAAGTATTTGGGAAGGAAAAGTAAAGATGAGTGTCTTTCTTATAATGGCCTCTTGCGTTTTGGTGAGGCAAAGTGTTATTTTCCTTTACATTAACCTCAATTATTAATCACTGAAAGTTGTTATTCGAATTATTTTTAAGAAAATATTGCTATATGAACTTATTTTATGCGTCGGTCGATTCTTTTTGTTGGCCAATACTTGCATAAATATTGATCTTTTGAATTACAGAAAAAAAAGCATCCAATGCTCGAAGTTACATTTTTTTGTAAGATTTTTTTGTTAATAATATTTCCTCAAACTCCCATTTTCTAAACTGGATCTTCTCTTGCATTTTTGTTTGTTTGTTAAATATCATCAATGAAGGTGTACCTTAGTTTATTTGTTTGTCCTTTCCTGAGCCTCAGGCAAAGCTACCTACTTAATTTCTCTAAATCGCGTCCTCGTGTTGTATATCTCTTGTGAGCTTTTACCAACGTGAGTATCAAATTTCAATTCATTGTCAGCATACGTCTGGTTAGAGCATCCCATTCTGATAACGTTTTCATCTAGAGATATTGACCTTGGCCATGGTCCAATTAGCTTCTCGCAGGAAGTATTACATCTTATTAGTATATCATAATATTTGGAAGAATATAAAAATTAGATAAATATATGCTTTGTTTTATCGTTTG